AAGCCAACATATCCACATGGTTGCAAATACAAAGGGGTATCATGTGAAAATTCTTCCCATCTCAGTCCCAGCCTTCCAGTTTCCCTGCATAGAGGCAAACAATGTTGTCCATTTCTTGTGTGTTCTTTGCAGAGAACTTTATGCAGATAAAACCCAAAATCACATGCACATATCCTACTTGCCCTTGTGCACACACATGGTGTTGTTCTGGAATATTGTTCTACATCTTGGCCTTTCCACTAGACGGTTAATCTTGGTGATCAATCCATATCCGTCATAAAGAATCTCATTATTCTTTACAGCTGTGCAGTCCTCCACCGTACAGATGCACCAACATCCAGCTAGCCAGTGCTTGTTATTCGGCATTTAGATTGCTTCATTGACTAAAGCAGGTCATTGGGAAGCCCACTTAAACTCTCTGTGACTCAGTTACTCATCTGTGAAATGGAATAAGAAGAACATCTACCTTCTAAGGCTATTGTGAGGATTAAATGAGATAAAACCTGAAAGGCACTTAGCAGGTACCAAGCCCTTGATATTTGAACTAGCGATTGTTGCTGTTGTTGCTTTCATTCCTAAAAGCAGACTGTTCCTTGGGGCTCACACCCAGGCTTTGGGGGACCCTGTGCCCAGGAAAGACCTGAGCCTCTGGCTTCCAGGGGAGGCAATTATTTTATGCTTTCTGAACTTGCAGCTGCAGCACTAGATTTAAGGCAGGACTTTGACTCTGGTGGAGCCGAAGCATGTGATCTCTCAGAGTCTCCAGGCAGGGGTCTGGGTGGGCAGGTCTCTGTTCGTTGCTGAGGCTGAGGTGGGAATGCAGCCAGGAGCCAATGGCCATCAAACACTCGTCAGAACCCAACAATCTGAAGTCCAGGGAGGAGTGTCCTACAGGTGTGAACACAGTGGTGTGTAAGCACCTGGGCTTTGGAGACAGAGTTCAAGAACTGGCTCTGCTACTTGGTAGCTGTGTGATTTTGAGCAGGTGGCTTAACCACTCTGGGTCTCAGCTTTCTTGCCTGTAAAATGAGGATAACACCACTTACCTAGGAGTAAGACTATAAGGATAAAAGTTTCATTATTTAATGAAGCTATGGAATTTGGCGCATAGTAGATGCCCAAGAAATGTTAGTCCTTACTGTCGGATAAACTATGATCTAGGAGAAGTAGGAAAAGGGAGTTACCACTCTACAAGTGCTTACTGTGCATCAGGGACCGTGGAGGTGCTTAAACTCATCATCTCAATGACCCCAAGGTTCTGCTGTGGTCCTAGGGCTGGAACACACATTTACCTCACACACACACCTCTACCTCTGCTCCTGGGATCAATGGTTGGTTTCCCTCTGCTGGTCCTCCCTGGCTTCCTGTCCATTATGGTGATGCTTTCTCTGCAGTGGGCAATGAGAAAGATGGGATGATCTGAAAATGTCAGGGGGCTCACCATTGGGCTTCCTCCGTTTCTATTAACTCACCCTTAAACTTGAGATCTTGGCTGGACTTCATGGAGTATTATTTGCAGGCAGGCAGGGGATATGTTAGGATCCAGCTCTGTCAGATTGGAAATGGTTAAGCAGCTTGCCTGGGGTGACATAATGAGCTCCGAGACCAGAGCCCCGCTTTCCTAAGATTCTCCCCTCTACTTTCACATGAAGTCAAGTTCTCTGGAAGCAGAACCTGAGACAGGTTTTTTAAAAAAATTTTATTGAAGTATAGTTGATTTGCAATGTTGTGTTAATTTCTGCTGTAAAGTGACTCAGTTATACATATATGTATATTTTTTCATATTATTTTCCATTATAGCTTATCACAGGATATTGAATATAGTTCCATGTGCTATACAGTAGGACCTTGTTGTTTATCCAGTTCTATATATAATAGTTTGCATCTGCTAATCCCAAACTCCCAATACTTCCCTCCCCCACCCCGCTCCCCCTTGGCAACCACAAATCTGTTCTCTGTGAGTCTGTTTTTGTTCCTTAGATATGTTCATTTGTGTCATATTTTAGATTCCACATATAAGTGATATCATATGGTATTTGTCTTTCTCTTTCTGACTTATTCGCTTAGTATGATAATCTCTAGGTCCATCCGTGATGCTGCAAATGGCATTATTTCATTCTTTCTTATGGCCGAGTGATATTCCATTGTGTATATGTACCACATCTCCTTTATCCATTCATCTGTCAGTGGACACTTAGGCTGTCTCCATGTCTTGGCTGTTGTAAGTGGTGCTGCTGTGAACAGTTGGGTGTATGTATCTTTTCAAGTTAGAGCTTTGTCCGGATATATGCCCAGGAGTAGAATTGCTGGATCATATGGTAACTCTATTTTTAGTTTTTTGAGGAACCTCCATACTGTTTTCCATAGTGGCTGCACCAATTTATATTCCTATCAACAGTGTAAGAGGGTCCCCCTGTCAGTTAGTCATGGCCCTGGGCTGCTCCCTGGGGTGGGGGTAGCTTCTTAGATATCTCTGGACAAAGCAGCTGCTCTCTTTGGCTGAGGGCAATGCTCTGTAAAATGGGGCTACCATAAGCCCCTAGTTGCTAACACTCCTAGAGGCTGGGGGTGGGGTGGGAGCACCACCTGTAAAGGGCATCAACAATTTCTGCTATACGCACTCACCTCCACCTGCATCTCCACCCCCAGCTGAGATGTGGACCCATGACCTTCTTTCTCTGGGCTGTTACTCCAGTTGTTCAAATAGCCTTGATTACTCAGGCTTCCCTCTCCAGGCCCAGGCTGCTTGACCGGGACAATGAGCCCATCCTGGGATGTTACACTCTGAGAGGCCTGGGTGGCAAAGCTGAAATAACCAATGCTGTCCAGGGTGGCTTCTGGCCTGGAGGGACAGAGCTGGGTGGTTTCCATGGGGCGGCCAGCCAGTGAGTTTGGACTTTGCAGGCAGAATTTTAACAGGAAATGAGCTCCTGGTATGCCTGGCTGAATGCAGGAGAGGGTGGGCAAGCCACATTCTGCCTTGAGGGCAACAGAATTTGGAGATCAGAGTTCCTGGGAGGGGACAGTGTATTCCTTGTCCCAGCTTCCCCCCCGTCCCCCGCCACCACCTCCTGGGATCCTCCAAGGCCAGTGCTGCCTCTCTGCCTCAAAGCAGGAGGCGAGGCAATCAAATGAACGTTTGCTGTCCAGACCAAGGGCAGCTGAGGACACTCATTACCGGGAACTGAAGCTCTCGGTACCAGCAGGGGCCAGGGGTTCCCAGGGGGCCCAGGGCAGCCTCATTCAGCTCTTGGCACAGGCAATAATGAGACGTTAAGGTTCTCTTCAGCAGATTTCCTTCACAACAGGAGTCATCTCTCCTTTCTTTCTGTTTTCAAAGTGGAAACACTGAAATGGTCATATTAATCTGGGAAGATTATGTTAACCACCCAGGAGCAGATGAAATGGCTTTTCTCTAAGGGGCCTTTCCTTCCCTGTGTCCAACCATCAGCCCCCCGATCCCCGGCTTCACCCACACGAAGATTTAATAATTGTACTGGCTGTAGAATAGGAAAGAGAGTCCTCTCCCTGTTCACCTCCCAACTGCTCATCTATTCAGCTTCCTAGGAAAAAAGACTGTGTTGTACCAAGACCTTCAGGGAAATCAGAACCCACTGGACACAGTAACCTACCTTCTAAGGCTTTTTTAAAAAATAAATTAAATGTGATCTCCATGGTCTCTTTCCCCTTATTCTTTTTAGAGATTTATTTATTATTTATCTTATTATTATTATTATTATTTTTGGCTGTGTTGGGTCTTAGTTGCAGCATGCGGGATCTTTTGTTGCACCGCGCGGGCTCTTCATCATGGTGCACGGGCTTCTGTCTAGCTGTGGCGGCGAGTTTTCTCTTCTCTGGTTGTGGTGCTCAGGCTCCAGGGTGCCTGGGCTCTGTAGTTTGTGGCACACAGGTTCTCTAGTTGAGACGCGTGAGCTCAGTAGTTGTGGCACATGGGCTTAGTTGCCCCACGGCATGTGGGATCTTAGTTCCCTGACCAGGGATCAAACCCACGTCCCCTGCATTGCAAGGTGGATTCTTTAGCACGGGACCACGGGGGAAGTCCCTCTTTCCCCTTATTCTTTGCTTAGACCCAGGGGAGGGGGAAGGAGGGGAAGTTCAGAAAGGACATAAGCTTGGCTGAGTTCAGCTAAACTTAGTGTTGATGGAGACTCATTCACGCATTCAACAAATATTTATTAAGTGCCTTCTATGTGCCAGGTGCTATGCTGGGTATTGGACATTAAGCAGAGAACAAAACAAAGAGTTCTGCAAGAGGCTTACATTTTAGCAGGGAGATTCTAACCGTGATGGTGCTGTTTTCACAAGCTGTGATTTAACTTTGTGATGATCTCCCTAGTCACTGTGTAGAGCATGGACTGAAGTGGGCCAAGGGCAGAGGCAGAGAGACTGGTGAAGAGGCTCCTGTAGTAAGCCAGGCCGGGATAGTAGTGGTTTGGATCAGCATAGTAGCAATTTAGGCACAGAACATTGGGAAGATTCTGGATCTATTATGACAGTGAAGCCAGCATGACTTTCTGATGGCTTGGGTGTAGAGTATTAAAAAGAAAGCAAGCCAGGGATGACTCTGGCATTTGGGACCTCAAAACTCTGAGACATGGGTTTGTTTTCTTTTTGACCTGACCAAGTCCAAGTTAACTAGTACATGAGTCAGATGACTTCCTCTAGTAGAAAGACCCTGGATTGGAGTTAAGAGCTCCGACCCTCCCTCCTGGATATGTGGTCTTGCATCAACAATGAATGGGACGAACACAGATTAAAGGGAGGAAGTTCTTCCCTCTGATCCATTTCTGCCACAAGGGAGCTGTGACAGTTTCCCTCTTGGGGCCTGAAAGTCCCCATCTGGAAAGCGGAGAAGCTGGGTGAAGTTCCATTTCTTCTCTGTATCCCCCAGAGTGCTTGGCATAGACCAGGGGGCTGAGAAATAAAGGGTGATTGAATGACTGTTTGCATGATGTCCTTTCTGGGCTGTTGTTTTCCAGGAGCACTGGGCTTCTACCATGACTGACACCGTGTTCAGCAACAGCTCTAGCCGTTGGATGTGTCCCAGTGACCGACCCCAGCAGTCAAAGTAAGTTGCTGGGTGTTCCTGGGAGTTGTTTGCTTTGGGGCAATGAGGTCCTGATCTACGCTTGAAGGAGGAGAGGAATAGCAAGGAAAGAAATTTCTCTCCCTGGGGTGGAGGAAAAAGAACCTAGTGGGAGTTTGTCGTGGAAACTTCACTGATTTTACTTCTTTGCAAGGTTGGAGTAACAAGATTAAATTCTGAGCTCCATGCCCTAAATGAGAGGTGGCTTGGTGGAATGGAAACAGCACTGACCTGGTGGTTAGAATCAGACTTGGTTCTGGTTCTAGATCTGAGCTACTCTGGGTGAATCTCTTTCCCTTCTTTGGACCTTGGTTTCCTCATCAATTAAATAAGGAAGTTGGACTAGATCTAGATCAGAGATTGCAAACTGGCAGGCCACCAGCTGACTCTGACTTGCAGAAATGTGTTTTTTATTTTTTATTTTTGGCCTGATCATTTAAAAATTGGGAAATTTCACATAAAATAACTTCACATACTCTTCCCAGTAACTATTATACCTGAATCAGTGGTGTGCTGGATCTGTACCATGGTGGTTCCTTAGAGCTGATGTTAAATTTTCAGGAATTTTGCAAGTCAGTTGTTAAACATGGCCAGTATTAAAAATTAAGTTGTATAGTTTTACAATTAAATTATATTAAACACAAAGGTGGTGAATACTCAACGTTAATCACTTCCTAAGTTTTTTAAACATCTTTATTGGAGTATAATTGCTTTACACTGGTGTGTTAGTTTCTGCTGTATAACAAAGTGAATCAGCTATGCATATATCCCCATATCTCCTCCCTCTTGCGTCTCCCTCCCATCCTCCCTATCCACCCCTCTGGGTGGTCACGAAGCACCGAGCTGATCTCCCTGTGCTGCTTCCCACTAGCTATCTATTTTACATTTGGTAGTGTATATATGTCCATGCCACTCTCTCATTTCGTCCCAGCTTACCCTTCCCCCTCCCCGTGTCCTCAAGTCCATTCTCTATGTTTGCATTTTTATTCCTGTTCTGCCCCATCACTTCTTAATTATTTTACTATGTTTTGTTAGTCTCCATGTTATTTGTGCCTATGATACCTGTATGGTGAAATACTATATAATAGTACACTACTGCATGTTTCCTCCCAGTTCTGCATTTAGTGACATCATATAGGTACTCGAAATCAGCCACAGTGGGGCTTTTTCTCCAGAGGTTCAACTGTTAAACATTTACCAGCACACCACTGCCTGAAGACCTTTACAGTCTAAGTCTATTGTTTATCATCCCTGCAGATTTTCACTCAAAGGTCTTATTTTTTAAATGCTTGGTAATTTTTATTGTTAGCTCAATCTGTGAGAATCCTGGGGATCTACCATGGGAATATTTTCCTCAGAGAGATTTGCACTTGCTTCTGCCAGGAATCAGGTGTGCTGCTCACCCAAGATGTGACCTGAGCTCCCTTAGAGGGTCCTGGCTCAAAGTGGGGGTCTCAGATTCAGCTTCCTCACCTTGTTAGGAGCTCAGAGTCAGCCTCTGGAACATAATGCTGGTATTTACATTGGCTTACTGCTCACAGCTCCCTGTTCTGGATTCAGTTTGCTGGGTTTTCTTTTTCTTTTTTAAAAAATTGCCTCATAAAGGGGTATAATTGATTTACCTCCAATAGTACACATTTAAAGTACAGTTTGATCATTTTTACATATATGTGCATACTCATTCCCCTTTGCAGTCTCTCCTTTCTGCCCCTCCCTCTCCCCACCCATTCCTAAGTAATTACTAATCTTCTTTCTGTAACTATAAATTAGTTTGCATTTTTGGGAATTTCTATAAATGGAATCATTCAGTATGTACTCCCTTTTTGAGAGATGTCTTCTTTCACTTGGCATAATTATCTCATGATCCATGCATATTGTTTTTCATATCAATAGTTTATTCCTTTATATTGCTAAATAGTATTTCATTGTGTGGATATACCACAATTTGTTTATCCGTTCACCTATTGATGAACATTTGGGTTGTTTCCAGTTTGGGGCTAGTACAAATAAAATTTGTATAAACATATACTTTCATTTCTCTTGAGTAAATACCTAGGAGTAGAATGTCTCAGTGGTATGTATAGTAGGTGTATGTTTAACTTTTTAAAAAACTGCCCGTTTTCCAAATTGGTTGTACCACTTTAATTTTCCACCAGAAGTGTACAAGAGTTCCATCTCTCTTCCTCCTCACCAACACTTGATATGATTAGTCTTTTCCATTTTAACCATTCTAATGTGTGCATAGTGGTATTAGTTTTGTGATTTTAATTTGCACTTCCCTAATGACTAATGATGTTGATTGTCTTCTTTTGTAATTTTGCCATTCGTATAACCTCTTTGTTAAAGTGTCTGTTCAAATACTTTGTCCATTTAAAAATTGGGTCATTTATCTTCTTGTTATTAAATTTTCTAAGCTTTTTTTCATGTGTTGTAGATAAAAGTCCCCTGCTGGAGACATATTTTGCACATATTTTTCTTGGTCTATGACTTGCATTTTCTTTTTCACAACAGAGTCTTGAAGAGGAAAAGTTTTTTTTATTTTGATGAAGTCTGTTTTGTTTATTTGTTTCGAAGTAGGGAGGGTTGTTGGAGAATTCCCTTATTTTCTAACAATCCTAGGGTCTTTTGGAATATTTAGTGCACTCATATTCTTGAAGCAAAAGTCCCTGTCTATTTACTACTTCTACTTAAAACCTCCTCTAGTTATACAAGTTTTATAGTTTTGAAGACATTATTGAACTCTGTTGGTTTCCTTTTTGAAAGGAAACTTCTAGTTTCCAAGCCCTTCCCATGATGTCCTCTTGAAGCCAACCTTACTTGGCAGACAATATTCCATCAGCCAAAAATTGTCTCTGTAAGATAAACAGTTGCCTGAAGGTGAATGGGGTAAAATATTTATTTTATTTAAGAAATGTCAGTTAATTAAAACCCCATACATAAGAGTTTACTTTAGTCAATATGAATCCAAACAATTTGCCTTACAATTAAATTAGAATTATTCAAACAGTCTGGATGCAGTTTCATTAAAGTGCTTCTGGGCTCCTGTGAAACATCTTGGCATTCTGAATGCATCCGGCTGGCTTGATTGCTACTGTGTTTTCTTCAGATGTTAAAATTATTTTCCAATAAATGCTAATGGGTGAATTTTAGTCATCACACATGCTATCTAGTCTGCAGCAGTGATGATGTGCTAATGCAGACGCTTCAAATGTCTTTCTCCAGTAAATTAAGAAATCTAGTCTTAATTAACTGCTGGCTAACCAGATACACTTTACTGCCTTTGTGATTTCTCTCAGCCTCCTTGAATCTAACGATGGTGTTTGGAACACAGTTGTGGTTGTGTTTGAAAGAAGTGAATGTATCTGTTTCTTGCATCGGTAGGACAGGGCTTCAGCTGTCTATGTTGGGGATACATGCGGAGAAATGCTGGTCTCTGATAATTGATACTTCTCTATAGTTTTCAAGTCTGCAAGCCTGAGAGTGCCAGAGATCAGAGGTGGAAACTGAGGCACAAAGAGGAGATGTGACCTGCCTATGGTAGCATGTCTAATAAGTGAAGAGCCTGGTCTCCTTTTTAGAGTGGAAGGACTTGCTTCCCCAAACTGGGGCACTGCGAGTTCTGCTTTCGGATGATCCAGTCACGGTTCAGGGCTCATTGCCTACCTCAGTGTGCTCCTTATCCCCCAGTGTTTGAAACAACAGAAACCAGGAATGTTATCATTAAGTGATTCCTTTTTAGTGCCAAAAAACATTATTCAAATACATAAATGATCAGATTGGTTAATTAATAAGCTGAACTGATTGGTCATTTTAATCAAGGCTGTGGCTCATACAACCCTACATTGCTGCAGCCTTGTTTTAGATGCGCTGGAATAAGATAATAATGACTGATAACAAATGGAAGTAGGTCATTGTGATTTAAACAGAACTGTGCGGTTGTGGCATCCAGGCAGTGTTGATATTGTTAAGAGATTTTTTCCCCTAACTTTATTCATTTTGTTCTTTCTCTCCTTTCTTTGCCTTCCTTCAGTGATAAAGAACAGTGAGTATTTTGTAATACTTTTATTTTTCTACAGACTGAATTTTATCTCTTTTCTGATTAAAGTGGCTTTAAAGATAGATGAAGAGAGATGGTTCAAAAAGGAACTAGCATGTTTTACATATCTAAAAACAAATTCAAGTTGTTAAAAAAAACACATACGCCTCTTGATAAAGAAAAATATGAAATTTCAAAAAAAAATCTTGGTAAAAGGTTGGAAAATATTCCTTAGGAGAGCCCTCAATTTAATTTTTGTTAGCAATTAGTGGGATTCAGCAAGCTTATTAACCTCCCTGTGCCTCTGTTTCTGCAACATTTTGCCTGGGAACACTGTTTTTAGATAAAGAAAATATTAACTCAAATGACTACTATCATTAGTCAAAGATGATAATGAGTAGAACAGAGCTTGTGGGAAGTTATGTGCTGTACACATGGTCTCTGTCACATCATGGAAGGTCAGCCTGATTTCCCAGTGAAATGCCTTTGACTCAGAGGTCCTATCTTTGCTCATAACTTTTGTTTTAAATTGGATTCATTTCCTAAATATGCATGACAGATTGGATGCTGGGTCTAACAAATGAACAGTCAGGCTGCAAAGCAGATGGGACTTTGGTTGTGTGTACACATTGGGAAACTATGGGAGGTCATTTTTACCTTCCCCTTGATGGGGAAGTGTTCACAGAGCCACAGCCAGAGCGCCGAGTCTAGCCTCAGAACACCCAGGTCTGAGGCCTGCTCTGGGACTCAATGTCAGTGTGGCCTTGGGGCACTGCCCTTCACCTCCTTGAGCCCTGGCCATAATGTGGGTATGTTAACCCTGCCCTTCCACCTTCACTGGGAGGTGGTACGGTCAAATGAGATGCATGGGAAAGCTTTGTAAACCGTAAAGCACCAAAATCAGAGGAAGGTGTGGATCACAACCTTGCTTTACCCTTGTGTGTATTTTATATATATATATACCTTGTATGTATACATTGTGTGTGCATGCATATATGTATGGTGTGTATTCTACAGTCTCTGTGTTGGCTGGTAAGATTTTGGTCTTTTTACGAATATTGTGAGCATATCATTCAGACATGCTAGGGAGAGATGCTGAGATGTTGTGCGATTATAAATATGAACATCACAAGAGAGAAGTTCAAGACTTCAGAGGGTCCCAAGTGCTTCAGGCTTCCTGAATGCTGAAAGCTGAAAGGTAGGGTGTGTGTCCATCCTCCTTCCCTCCCTCCTTCATCCTCTCCCTCCTCTCTTCTCCTCTTCCCTTTCTCCCTCCCTCCCTTCCTTCCTTCATTAACAAACACATATCATGCACTGTGCTAAGCACCAAGAATACAAGGTTAGCCAAAGTCTGAGTGGATGTCTAGAAGGGTTTACAAACAAATAAATAGTCAGTCACCAACAAATACACTTTATAGTGCAAGGAGCTTTAATAGCAGAATCACAGCGGCCAAGGGAGCACAATGATGGGCACCTAACCAAACTTTGGGGTCATGATGGGAGAGCTTCCTGGAAGAAGTAATGTGTAAGCTGAGACCATGTAAAGGAGGTACAAGATAAAGAAGAGACAGAGGAGTTCCACGTAAGGGAACAGCATGTGCAAAGTCCAAATAGGAGAGAGAGCATGGGATTTTAGAAAAGCTGAATGGCACTCAGTCTGGCTTAAAAGATTACCAGGAGCCCGAGATCCCCTTATCTTTCTGAAGGGAGTCGGGGAACCACAGCATCCTTTTGGCACCCTCTTTAGTCTGTTAGGGGTAAATTTCATCAAAAAGGGCCTTTTTACCAGCAGGGCTTATGTAAAGTGTTTTGTGGTGTGGATGCCCCTCCTTCCACACCCTCCCCTTCAGGATTCATTAAAATCTCATTCACTGAGCTGTAAAGAGACTTCCTGCTGACACCTGCTTCTGTCAGCATCCTGGGGGAAGGGAGGGGATAAGAAGAAAGGAAAGAAAAAGGATTAATTTTCTGCACACCACCGCTGTTTAATGCTTCAGAGCCTTCGTGCCCTGACAGCATTTCCATCATCCCACTCCTTTTGGGAGTTATAATATATTAATAGAGACATCCAGTGGGTATTTATTATGTGACTGTTGTGTGCATGAAATGAAGAATCAAGTTGGGAGGCAGGAAGGAGCTGGGAATCTGCCCTTTGCAGTATTTTAGGGGGAAACATCTGTGAGGGGCTTCCACCTGCAGTCAGGACTAATTTCCTTTTGTGTTAGAGGCCACTGGTGCTAGTTTGTTGGGAGAGTTCCTTCTGACCATCTCTAGATGCACCTTAACAAGTACATTCAGGTCACAGATGAAGCACATCCAGAATGCTGGTGTCTCGAGCCTCTGACCATATTCTCCCCGCACAAGAGAATTTCTTGGCAATTCTCTTCCCTCTTCTGAGTGTCAAGCATCTGGAAGATGAGCAGGTCAACTGCAGTGATCTTTAGACTTCTATTAGCAGCAAAATTCTTTCTTTGAATACTGTTTTATTCAGAAGCTAAATATATAAGACAGATAAAGAGTGGCGATGGATAAAGACCTGTCATGGCTGAAAGCATTAAACATACCACCGTGCAACTGTAAGTTAAAATAATACCAAACTGTAAAGTAGGGAGTTTAACAAGCTTCACTTTTTTGTTGCCACAGTAGATAGTGTGTCAGTTATCTTTTGCTGTGTAACAAACCACCTTAAAACTCAGTGGGATAGAAAAACGATGATTTATTCTCAGGGACCTGGGCTCAGCTGGTGGCTCTGCTGATCTTGGCTGGGCTTTCTCATGTATCAAAGGGTTGTCTGATCTAGGATGGCTGTGGCTGGAATGACTCAGCTCTGATCCACATGCCTCTCATCCTCCAACAGGCGGTCCTGAGCTTTTTGTCATGGTGATGACAGAGAGTAAGAGAGTAAGTAGAAACACACAAGGCTTTTGCAGGCTTAGCCCCAGATGGCACAACATCTCTCCCCTGTGTTTTATTGGCCAAAGTAAGCCATAGTCCAAGCAGGATTCAAGGGGTAGGGAGAAAGACCCAGACCTTTTGGTGAGATCAATTTCAAAGTCACATGGCAAAGGGCATGGATACTTAGAAGGGTGAAGTATTGAGGTCACCAATGTAATAAACTATATCTCATGATTTTATTAAATATCAAATATTAAATTCTTAAAAAAAAATTTTCTCTCTCTTTTTTTTAAAACTGGCATCCTTGCTTTGCTAGTGTTGGGAACCCAGCGTTGCCATCTGGGCTGACATGAGGATGGAGGGCCTGGTTCCCTGCCCACTCTGTCCATCTACGACCCACTCACCTGCAGCCCTTTGAGATCCCTCCAGGGAACTACAGACAATAGCTTGAAAACCATGGCTTAGACAGTTTGGGGATACAGGAGGCAGGTGCCCTTCAGTGATTCTCCAGGAAGCATTGTCCTAGGTATGTGAACGAGAGCAGAGATGGGCCAGCCCTCTTCGCCCCGTCTCAGCCAGTAAGCCAGGGGTCACTCCTCATGCAGCTACTGAGGGTCAGGAGTAGCCTCTGAAGGTCCCTGCAGGAAACAGACAGGAAATCATTCCCACTTAGCAGATCTGGAAACTGACATTCAGAGTGTCTCAGGGCCCTAGTACACACTGCTAATAAGCCACAGGTCCAGGATTGCAATCTTAAACCCCACCAGGTCAAGGAGGGCTCAAGTTGGTGCACAGTAGGCCCTCTGGGTATTTACTGGACTGGATACAATGCTCTGAGTAACTTGTCCAAGGAAGCAACACTTTGGTCTCCACCTTTGGTTTTTAACGAGGTCCCAACACTGGACTCTGGTCTTAAGGACGTGGAGCTGGAATCCTGTGCCCAGAGGCCCTTGGCAAGGGTGCCACCGTCCTGTCACAGGAGCATTCCTAAGGCCCCCATGCTCACAGTGTTCTCCAGCCCAGAGGAGGCCCAGACAAGCCCATTTTCTCCCTTGAGAGCAAAGGCTTTGGTTTGAAAAACCATCTCATTTCCCTCTGTTTACTTTTGGGATTAAAACATGAAAATCCACAGGAGGCTTTCGAGTCCCCACTGAGACCAATCAGTGACATTTTCAAACACTAGATGAACTGTTTGTCAACTGCGTGTTTTTGAGCAGAGGATGGGGATCTGCAGAGGTGCCGGCAGCCTCTAGCAGGCCTTCTGCTCATCTGCAGATGGAGACAATTATCCTAGGCAGGCCTCTTGTGGACCCCCATTCCTGCTTATCTTTCTGCAGCCGTGCATTTCCTGTGCATTCTGATCCCAGCGAGTTGTGTGGTGGGGTGAGAGGCATTGGCTTCAGGTCTGACCCATGGCTGACCATACCCATGACCAGATTGTGAGCTGTGGGAATGTGCCCTTGAAAGGGTCTCCACTGGGTCTGAGGCCCAGCATCTCACCTGTGCTCTGTCTTGGTCACTGAGCTACTTTGTAGAGGCAGGAAATAAATGGAGGTGGCGATCGGAAGAGAATGAAGGAAGAAAAGAAGGGATGAAGGAAGGAAGAATAGGGGCAGTTGAGGCATCCATTTCCACGGTAAACCAGAGGGACCTGGGGAGGTGGCTGGATGAGGTTGTAACTAAGGCTCTTCGGGAAGGATGGGTGGTCTTCATTATGCAGGAGTCCAATGTATCCTTTACAGTTAATGGGAAGAAACATCAGGCTGAGGGATATTAGCACACTGTAAGGAAGATCTTTCCAACAGAACGGCATAGACTCCTAATGAGAGAGTGAGGTCTTCATCACAGGGAGCATTCAAGCAAGGCTGAAAGACCCCTAGGGAGGCTGTGCCAGATGGGCTTTCAGGTAATCCTCAGTGGCCCTCATGCCTTTGTGTAACCTCCTCGCCTTGAGTGCGTGCAGGACCTGGGATGTGTTTCTAACCTATAGAATATGACAAACAGGATGGAACATCACCCTTGTGATTACATCATGTTATATAAGACCCTGTCTCATTTGACCGGAGCTTGAGAGTCACCTTGTATACTTGATGAAGGAAGTGGCCCACAGGATGAAGTTGGAGAAGTCTGCTTGGTTAGGAATTGCAGGCTGCCTCCAAGACATGGAGGTGACTTCCTCCTAATAGCCAACAAAAAGCTGGGGTCCTAGGTCACATGGCTGCCAGGAAATGAATTCTGCCAATAACTCAAATTTGCCTGGAAGCTGATTCTTCCCCAGAAAGGCTCAGGATGAGAACCCAACCCAGCTGACGACTGATTGCAGCCCTGTGAGATGCTGAGCAGAGGACCCAGCTAAGCCATGCCTGGACTTCTAACATGGAAACTGTGAGATAATAAATGTGTGTTGTGTAAAGCCCCTAAGTTTGTAATAACGTGTTATGTAGCAGTCGAAAATGAACACAGACACTATCAATGGGGCTTTGTGCCACCCTGTCTCTACCCTCCAGCTGGACTGATTTTTCCAGTTATCTAATGCTGCAGAACAAATCATATCAAACGTAGTGGCTTAAACAACAGAAACTACTTATTACTTCTTGCAGTTTTTGTTGGTAGATATTTGAGAGTGGCTTGGCTGGGTGGGTCTGGCACAGTTGTAGTCTTATGTCAGCTGGGGCTGCAGCCATATAAGGGCTCGACAAGGGCTAGAGGATCACACAGCTGGCACGTTAGGTGCTGGCTGTTGGCAGGGGCGTTAATTCCTCTCCACATGGGCCTCTCCACAGGGATGTGGCATCTCATGACATGGCATCTGACTTCCCCTAGACGGCATGACCCAAGACACCAAGGCAGAAGTTGCAATGTCTCTTGTGACCTAGCCTTGGAAGTCACCCACGGTCACTCCCATTGTATTTAGCTGGTCACACAGGACCAGCTGGGTTTCAGTGTGGGAGGGGATGGCACAGGGATGGTGTGAATACCAGGGGGCAGATATCCTTGGCAAGCATCTTGTAGGCTGGCTACGATATTGATCTTCCTTCACTTCCTCAAGCACACTGCCCACTCTCTCAACTCCAGGCCTTTGCAAAGACCATTTCTCTGTCAGGCTCAGTTTCTTCCTCTGCCTTCCTCTCACCAACTCTAGTTTATCTCTGAGGTCTCAGTAGGAGCCAGCCATACCTTTCTGCAGCCTGCAGCTTATGTAATTTAGGAGAGCCCTCTTCAAAATAAAGAAGATAAAAATATCTCTCTTTTACAAAATTTTCAGGACAGATGATCATTACGAGAGCTCTTCCCAGGGCCTTGGAAGGTGCCTGTGCTAACAAAGGGTCCCAAATTTAAGCTCCACCAGCATCACAGTAAATCCTCTTCAGGGTCTCAGAGTAGATGTCACTCCCTCAGGGCGCACTCCTTGGTCCCCTAGAATAAGTGACTTCTGTTGCTTCGGGCTTGCTGTGGGTCACACTTATAATCAGACATTTATCATCCCTTTTGGCCATAAGGTATTGTGTCTTATTCAAAAACTCTTTCTGTGCTTACCCTCAGACACTATTCTAAATGCCATTGAAATAATAGTGACCCAGACCCAGACAGGGTCCCTGTCCTCCTGGAATCCTACATTCAGGTGGGGGGAGAGAGGCAACAAACAGGTAAACAACAAACTTATTTTAAAAGATAATTTCAGTTAGTGATGGATACAAGTGAACCTGGGCAATGAGAGCTCAAGGAAGACCTCTCTGAAATGCTGACATTTGAGCTGAGACCTGAATGATGAGAAGGGGGAGATCTGGGGAGATAAGTCATTCTGGAAGCCGGGACAGCAAGTGCAAAGGCCCTGAAACAAAAACAAGGTTTCAGTGTTCAAGATTGAGCAGGGAGGCCAGTACAGCTGGAGTGTAGTGAGAGGGGGCGAAAAGGATGGAGAGTCAGGTAAAGCACAGATTGGGTAGGACTTTGCAGGTAGGCAAGAAACTAAGTTTTACTTTTATTAAGGTAGAATTCACTTAACATGCAATTAACCGTTTTCAAGTGCACACTTCAGTGGCGTTTAAGCACACTCACCACACTGCAACCACAAGCTCTGTGTAGTCCTGGGCTTTATGCTAAATCAGTGAGAAGCCATTGGAGGGTTCGGGGAGGGGGATTTGAGTATGTTTAGCGTTTGTTCATCCCCTGGATCAGAGGCCCCTGATCCAAGGCAAGATGTGTTTCCACCAGAATTTCCCCAGGTTACCCCCTCCTTCCCTTTCTCGCAACAAGACTTGCCCCCAAGACATCTGCTTCCATTGCTTTCAAACTCTTCCTTCTGTGCTCTTCTGAACAAACCAGCTAAGGTGGGAGGATGGAAGAAGAGACGGGAGCAGGGAGGAAGATGGGGCCTTTAATTTCCAACTTTGAGTGTCAAAAGGCAATTTCATGCCTGCTGACGTGATTAGAGCAGTGGAAGTAATAGAGGCTGGCAGCTAATGGGGTGCTGGCTCCAGGGGATTCATAGTTACTGATTTTTGCCCCAACAGGGACAAGAATTTCTTGGGCGATGAATTTTGCGAAAATGCAAGAATTTTCCTGCATTCCACTTGGGCGATGCACCTCAGTGCCCTGGGGTGCATCGCCCAAGGAGATAAGGTCCAAGGTCTATACTTTGCCATAGACCACAGCGTTAGCTCTCTACCCAGCAGCCTCTGATCCTCTGCAGCGTTCAGTTCTCTCCGTACTGTGGAGGTTAAGTGTGCAGGCTGCCCACGTCCGAATTCCACCTCTGCCACTTCCAGCCATGTGACCTTGGGCAAGTGGTCTAATGTCTCCTCACCAGAAAATAGACAATAACAGTCCTGCCTTGTGGAAATGTTGTGAGGATTAAATGAGAAAATGTGGGCATCCAGTAGGTGCTACATCAGTATTTGCTTTTTTTATTTTAAAAAAAAGATCAAGGAGAGCACAGGATGGAGCTCAAAATGCTATAGGAGCTTTGGAGGCAGGAGAGCTAGATGTTTATGTGAAATCAAGAGATTTTTATAAAACTAGTTGACCACTAGTTTAAACTTTTTTTTAAGGACTCTGTGGCCTACACCAAATGTATTTGTGCCAGACAGGGGCTGGCGTCAACCTGGGATCCAGGGCCTCAGACCAGCCTCCCAGAATTGTTTCCGCTCCTGCTGTAGAAGTCTACTGTTGAGATTCTTTTCCTGAGAACACCATTATCCTCCAGGCTTCCATGAACTTCCTGCAAATGCTACTTCCAGAGTGTCTGCCATGTGCTAAGCACTTAATAAACTCATCAGAACCTTATGAGGGAGGAGGTATGTGTGTCCTGTTGTACAGATGAGCAAACTGAGGCTCTGAGAGATTGGATTCTTTTACCCAGGGTCTCCCAGCAGGGATTTGAACTGAAGTTTACCAGACTCCAGGAGCTAGAGCCTAACCACCACTCTGCAACTGCTGACTTTGTCTGCAGCCTCACACCTTCCTATATTGCCTTTCAGGCTCCAGACGGGATGGTCTGTTCACCCCAGTGGTCAGGCAGACAGAGGGAGGAAGCAGGAAGAGCTGACAGATGAGGAGAAGGAGATCATCAACAAGGTGATTGCTCGTGCTGAGAAGATGGAAGAGCTGGAGCAGGAGCGCATCGGGTGAGGCCTGACGCCGCGCATCCGGCCTGAGAGCCAGAGACGCCAGGAGGCTGTGCTGCTCAGGGCGGGTGCGCTGTGGTGGGGCAGGGCTGCCCTCGGGGTTTGTGACCTGTGATGTGCCAAGCCACCCGCTCAGGCAGAACTGGAATCCTTGGTGCATGAGCTGCGAGAGCTGGAAGACAGAAAAGAGAACAGGGGAGAGAGTGGGCTGGGGGCTGGCTGGGGAGGGGCTTCTGGGCTGGGGGTGCATTAAAGATGGAGAAGGGAGGATCTTCTGAGAGGGGGATGGGAGATTGTCTCTGAAGGCTGGGGACGTGTGTGTGAGCACAGGTGTCATACCCATTCCAGCTGCATAGGAATATGTTCTAGAGACATTGGCCATGCAGGTGCCAGAACGATAGCCGAGGGTGAAGTAAGGGGGAGGAAGTGTATGTCAACGAGACAGTGCGTGAAAGAGAGAGCACATCTGAAACGAATTATATGAGAGAATTGGAGAAATCCATCCTGAAGGGAGGCCAGCATGAGAGCGGGGTAGCAGAGGTTGGGTCTGGACTCTAAGGACCCAGCTTCCATCACAGCTCCCCCACTTGCTGGCTGTGGATCCTGGGCCATGTTGCTTCACCCTCTGAGCCTCAGTTTGCTCACTTGTAGAATGGGAGAAATAAAAGGAATAGTCCCACAGGATTGTTGTGAGGAGTAAGTGAAATGATGCTTGTATGGTTCCTGGACCAGGCCTGGTCGTACTTCATGCTTAATGAATGGTAGGAGGAAGGGAAAAAGTGGGGTTTGGAGGGCAGAGGTAACAAAAAACATGTATGGGATGTAAGAAGGTGTGTGTATCAGAGCATCAGTGAGCCAGGACAGGGTTAGAGAGAGAGGGAGGGCTCTGTGCGTGGGCTTGGGAAGGGTGGAGTGGGGAAGTGAGAGGGGAGGAGTGTCTGGGAGAAGAGGAGAGTGAGCGTATGTATGGGGGGGGCGGCTCTTGGGGTGGGTGGGAACTTCCACTGCTAGGATGCAGGGAGGCCACCAAGGCATCCTCTAAGGCTGAACCTCAAATGGGAAATGGGAGGAGCTGCTGAGATGCCACCCCTTCCCCAGACCTTTCTTCCAAGGGGCAGCCTTTGCCAACTGCTTACAACTGGTTTGGGCACTGGGGTGCCCTTTCATCTCCCTACCCAGCCACTCAGTCAACTCAGGTTAACAAGATTCTTGGATGGAAAATGATGCTGTGACCACACAGGAAGTGGGTGCCTTTGATTTGAGCCTTTGCAGATCATTTTATTCAGAGTGGGCTGGGGAGATCAGAGGTGCCATTGACAAATGACAAATAACCTGGCACAGGCGGAGTCAGCTTTGTGCTCGGCCCTCCGTCAGGCTCCTCAGTAGGTTGCTAAAGGGATGGGTCTTGAGGGGTCTGCTTGTAGGGTTGAGTTTTTATTTTGCTTTTTAAAAGATACATCAGGAGTGAGGAGTTGTCCAGGCGGGAGGTCTGTGAGCATGTGTGTAAGTGAGTGTAGGAGTGTGTGTGTGTGTGTGTGTGTGTGTTCACTTCAACCAACAAGGAGCCTCAGCCTTGCAGGAAGGAAGAATATAGATGTTAAATTCTTGCTTGGAAGCAAGAACTTCCAGCCTTTTTCCTGTGGAGCACTTTCCACTAGCTAACTTGGAATTTTATACATTGATTATATCTCTCTCCCCATTAGATTATAAGATTCCTGAGTGTAGAGATTTTTGCCTGTTTTGTTTGCCACAGAATCCCCAGTCCTAGTACACAGTAGGTGTTCAGTAAAATATTTGGTGAGTGAGTGAGTGAACATGGTAGACAATGCTGCCCCCCAATTTCCTTCTGCATCTCCTGTGAACAAGAGGCTGGAGAGCTTAGAATTTTGTAGTCCAGGGTCCATATTCCCAGGGAAGACATTATGATTGGCTGCCTTATGTTTATATCAGATTCTATCCTTGTTAACTATGGCCAGAGGTGCTGGCTACATTGTGCAAGCGTGGCCACTAGGCTGCCTTTGGGTGTAAAGTTAAGGGGATCTCTGTGGACTGAGCGGATTCTGGCTTGAACATTCTAGAACAGGGCTGATGGGTTCCCTGCCTTGTCCCCCATGTCCTGCCACATTGCCTGACCTGGTGACATGGTGGGAGAGCACAGTGGTTAATCCCTGGGACCCCAGAGTCAGAGAGACCTGGCTTCAAATTCCAGCTCTGCCACTTACTCCCTGTGTGACCTTAGATAAGGCACTTTACCTCCTCCTCAGTTTCCTCAGCTGCAAAATGGGGATAACGTTAGCACACATGTCCCGGGGAATGTTTAATTCACATTCAAAAGATTATCGTGGTGCCTGGCACAGAGTGCATGCTCAGTTAATGGTGAAAATCATTAATGACAAATTTGCTGAGGAAACGTGTTATTTTACACTGGCCAAGGTCTCCGTTCTAGAATCATGCCCGAGACTCCTGTTTGGCAAGCCCCTGGCTTCCCCTGAAGGAGATTTCAGAACCTTCCAGGGAAGCTGGGGCCAAGCCCATGGTGACAGAGTGTCCCTTTGCTGAGAGGGTATGTTTTCTGCCGGAAAGGGGAGGATAGTCCTAGAAGATTCTGGCTGAGGCCCTTTCCCCTGCTCCCTTCCAGCTGCCAGCCCTTTCTGGTAGCATGGCCAGAGGCAAGCCCATGCTATTTGTGTCTTATGACCTTGAACCTGCCCTCATTCCTGTTCTACTCACACTTCCCTGGGAGAGGATCAGAGTGAAGTCAGATGAAAGGAGAGAGACATATCAGACACGGATCGAGGCTGAAAATGGGGCGCCATCAGGGCTCCCCCTCCAGAACCTGAGGCTCAGTTGATGAGCCTTGGGGGCTTCAGTTCTCCACTTGTCCAGTGAGGCGGGTCAGTCTGAGTCTCAGGATCCTTCCTGATCCGACTCTACAGTATTTGGGGGTGTCTGGTGGAGGACCCTGTACCCTGTGGTTGGCTGCACCTCTCAGAGCAAATGAGCTCCTTCTGGCTCTTCTAAGTGTTAAAACTGCAGATGTAGCTGTGTCCCCTTCTGGGTCTAGACACCAGCTCTGTGATGCTGAGTTTTCTTTTCTATTACCGAACAGCCATCTGGGAGACACGTGAAGTCATCGTTTACATAGTAAACAATCATTATAAATGGGTACCATTTAGTGATTGAGCACTTACTATGTGCCAAACATCAAACCTAAAAACTTCATATGGATTTAACTCATTAACTGCTCCTCTCAACCCTATCAAGTAGGTGCTATTTTGCAGGTGAGGAAACTGAGGCTTAGAAAGGTTAGGTCACTTGTCCAAGGTCACACAGAGCTAAGATATATGTCCCTGTCTGTCTGGCTCTCAGAACTATGTTCTAAACTATTAGGTATCTTTCCTGAAGGTGTGGCCTCAAATTCTTAGACTTTGCAGGACATGGAAATTTTTAAAGCTCAGGTTTGGAGGGGGCATTTGGGGAGCTACAAGCTAGAATCCCTTCTGTGCTGGCCCAGTGATTCCTTCCCAGTGATCTTATTAACCTGTTTGTACCTCCAAAGCTGCCAGAACTGGTCTCCATGGTCCTAAGGCCATGGAGAGTCCCCTGGGAGAATCACCCTAAGGTGTCCCAGGAGGTGCTGCCTCCCTGGGGCAGTTTTGCTAGAGTTTCTGCCCCAGGGAGCACCAGATGATGCAGTGGACCAGAGTTGGTTCTCACCTTGGAGCCTCTGCTTTTGCCCAAGGTGGTGTCTAAACCTTCACTGAGTGGTAACTCAGCCCACAACCAAGCTCTGCTCCCTTCAGCACCCCCAGAAGGAAAGCTGATGGTCAGAAGGGAAACTCATTAAAGAGCCTCATTTTGCCCCACATCCCTTATTCAAGGCTAAGTGGGATCTCAGAATTTATTTTGCGTGACCTGACTGCTGTAGATTTTCTATACTAGTGAGGACACTTGGCTTGCAAGAAAAGGAATTAGTTCCAGCTAGGTGGTTTCAGTTATCTATCACTGCATAACAAACCACCCGAAACTTACTGACTACAAGCATCAGTAGTATACTCTTTTTCATAATTCTGTGGGTTAAGAATTTAGACAGGGCTCTGCTAGGTTGATTTTTGCTCCATGTGGCATAGCCTGGGGTCACTCACTCAACTGCATTCAGTGGGTGGCTGGGTTGGACTGGAAGGGCCAGGAAAGCTCCAATCCTTTGTCTGTGCCTCAGTGCACTCTGCATGGCCCCTCTCTCTCCACGGAATCTTTCCTTATTCAGTAGTCTGGCCCGAGCTCCTTTACATGGCAGCTGACTCCCAAGAGAGCAAGGATGGAAGCCTCCAGGATTCTTAACAGCTAGGCCTAGAACTGGTAAGGCATCGCTCCACTGCAATCTGTTAGAGAGGAGAAATAGATCCCATCTCCTCCTGGAAGAATGACTTATGCATCCAGGGAAGGAAGATGTTAATGGTGGTCATCTTTGGAGACTCTACCCCATTAGGCAAAAGGGAAATTTAATATAAGGATTCAGAGGTATCTCAAGGGATCCAAGGGCGGGAACACAGCCTAGTCTCATGAAAGGTCTGCTTCTCATCCCACATCTTAGAAAATATAATCTCATACTATACCTTCCTGGTTGTTATATTTCTTCTTAGTCCTAATTCCAAATTCCCGGGGAAGGAACTCTGATTGGTCCAGGTCACCATGAGTGCCGCCCCTCATCCAATCAGCTGTGGCCAGAGGTGCCAGGCTATACAAACAAGGCTGCTGAGTGCTACTCCAGAGAGTGCAAAGGGCCTTTGTAAATTGAACGGACACCCAGGGGGTGTCCACAGGACTTTTAAAACATATTAAATATGGAATTAAACATTTGGGGAAATTTGTGTGTGCGGGTTTTGTTTTTGTTTTGTTTCCCAGTGGTAGGTTCCTCCATGTCTTTATCATATTTCTTTCTATCCAGAGCCTCTCAAAGGCATTACTCATATATTCTGCCCGCAAGGGGACAGGCAGCT